ATAATTTCAGAGTAAATCCTTTTGATTTGAAAGAGGTGCGAAAATTTGTTCCCAAAAACAAAGTATGATAAAATAATATTTACCAAAGCATTTCATAAAAGAAATGTATTTTCATTATATAATCAAAACTCGGGATGTCATGTTCCGATACAGACCATAAAGCATAAACGATAACATTACAAGTCATTCAACAAATATATACATATACAGACTTGTAAACAAAACAATTTGGTGGTTCATCCATCTTATGCCCTTGCGCCACTTCCTGTAATACAAATAAAACTGAGTGGGTCAGGCTTGGGAGCCTGGTGAGCATATAGGGTTTTCAACCGACAATAAATAATTATATTTAATTCCATCAACCAAAAATAACCCAATTACCCATTCCCGTTATTCTCACTTTACGTCCCTAAAACAACTAACACAAGGGACCTAGTCTTAGAATATTTCATCGGGGCGACAACACATGCATTCGGGGGTTTCCCGGCAATATATGTCAAATAAGGCAACCATGAGGGGATGGAGTACAGCGAATGAACACCTAAGTTCATTAACACCTATAGGTGGCGAACCTGCTAGCGTTCCACAGGACTGTCTAGAAAAGTTTGTGGTCGTCATCTAAACTCCGCTAGATGACTGAATCAAAAACAACATCGAGGCCTCTCATCTGTTTATCACACGTCAACTATCTACCCATGTTCTACCCGACATATTAGTAGATAAAAATATATATTTTTATACATAGTTTAAAACCTGTATAGCATTCTCATTCAATACATATTCCAAAACAACAGATGAGACACATACACATAACACGTATTTCATAGAGAATAAATCGTATCTATGAGATAGAAGAAAGTGAATATACATTCACGCATATAACAACAAAATATACACATAACACGTATTTTATATTAAATACTTAATAATTATGCGTTAGAAGAAAGTAACCACACACTCACTTGATCAGAAGATGATCGGACAGCACTACGGCTTGTAGAAGTAGTATTCTTCGGCAGATCTGGAAGATCTTCACAAAAACCGGACTCCTCGCGGGCAAAGCTTCGGCTCGGGAATCTTACTTCTCGGGATCTTCGGGACCTCGGGACTTGCTTCGGGGCTCGGGAATGATACAGGGCTTCGGGATAATTCTTGCACGAAAAACGATGCAAAAACGCGAGAAAAGGAGAAGAAATGAGCAAACTACCCGGCTGCCCTCGACACCCTTTTATAGGGGCTAGAAGGTTGATTTACGTTGGGCGTAAATCCTAGTTACGTTGGGCGTAACGTGGATAGGATCGCTGACTCCCCCCCTTCGGATAATATCGGCCATATATATATATATATATATATATATATATATATATATATATATATATATATTATATATATATATATATATATATATATATATATATATATATAAAATATCGAAAATATTTAATAAACTTCAAAAATTCATATCTTCCTCATACGAACTCCGTTTTCGACATTCTTTATATCCCCACGTAGGTGAGACTACGATCTACAACTTTCGTTTAGAATCCGTCGGCTAATATTGAACTTATTTTTATTATTTATTTTTAGTAGGCCGCGATAGGAAAACTCCGTTATAAAATCATAATTTCTTCATCCGACGTCCGTTTTCGCCTATCTTTTTATTGTTTTACTACAATTAATGAGATCTTCAATTCTCATTTAGATTGTTTCGGCTAAAACCGCTCGGTCTCAAATCAAGTATTCGGGCTGCATACCGCTAAGTCGAAACTTCGAAAAATCATAACTTCCTCATACGAAGTCAGATTTTGGCGTTCTTTTTATGCACGCTCTCGGTTTAACAAACTCTACGACTTTTGTTTAGATCACTAAGGCTAAATATTGCTCTAACGTAAATTTCACTTTTTACGTCATTCAGCGTTGTCGGTTCTGTCGCGAAACTTCGACAGGTCATAACTTCTTCGTTATAACTCGGATTTTGGCATTCTTTATATCTTCGGAATCCTTGTTTCGACCACTACATCTTTATGCAAAGATATTGGGATTATCTCACACTTCAAATTTGACGCTTATTTTATTCTTAATTCATTAAATTATAATAATTAAGAAAATAAACACATAATTCACATAATACTCAAATATTTCATCATTAATACTCCAAAAAGAGTTGAAAGGGTTAACCTAGACTATTACATCAATGAAAATGCCTAGCCTGGAAACGCGGGCGTTACATATATACTAGATGAAATCGATGTATGATTAGATGTAAAGGGGGTTATGTTAAATACCCACAATATATCATAGGAAGATAGAATGTGATTATATGAAGTATAATCTTATGAATAAGTATGTACGCATGGTTAGATGTTAAGGGATAATGACTTAGGAGGGTAATAAGGTTTCCAGTTTGTCCGTATTAGGTCACTAAGGTTTTTTTTGTGCTTAATAGACCAATATGGTTGTTATTACCGTTTAGAAATAGTCCTTTTACCGGTCTTAACCGGTAAAAAAAAAAAAAAAAAAAAAAAAAAAAAAAAAAAAACCTTAGTGACCTAATACGGACAAACTGGAAACATTATTACCCTCTTAAGTCATTAACCCTAATTATTTAGAAAACATGCTTACTAATCAATGTGACTGATTTGTTTAACTGAAAATAGTTGCTTCCATTTAAACTTATCTTACAACCCTTCCAGAACTTCTAAGTCCAAAAACTCATATGATTGATGATCTTCATTAAATAAATATGCAACATTTTATCAATAACTTCTTTTTTGTCATTTAAATGTTTACATGAACACATCCATATGTACAAAAACATTCTCATTTTGATATCTCCCATAAATGTCTACATTTGATAACGAATGGAAATGTAAAACCAACAGGGACTTGCAGAGGATGTCTATTATCAATTATTTTATAAAAAGCAAAACCACAACATGAACTAAGAAACTGAAGTTGCAAAATGAATAAAAAAAATCAGCACATAAACAAATATATACTTACTATATACAACACATAAACGAAAGTTTATAAAGCATGAAACTTAATGACGGGAAAAGTAAAAAACTTAAAGGAGACTTTATAGAAAGAAAGATCACCCTTACTTGCCACAAATGGTTGAAGACATCAACAACAAGATCAATCTGACCATAGAATCTACATGTTGTCTGATCATGACTTCAGTAGATGAACTACTGAAACGTAAGAATTGCAATTGAACTCTATTAGCATTTGAAAAAGGAATTAGGGTTCCAAAGAAGACGACGAAGGGTTAAAAAAAAATTTGGACCATTTCTCGATTTGTGTGTGTCATCCTTGCGCATGGGTCATGCTAATCTTCTCTGTATCATTCCAATTTTATCGGATGTCCCTAAAGGGACGACTATAGATGAAGAGCTTCGCCATATAGAGGAGTAGCAGGTTATATGGGACGACTCGAGTTCTAAATGAAGTAGTTTACTGTTGATGGTCATATATTCTCAATGTCTTTAAAATTAGGGTTAATGACTTAGTAGGGTAATAAGGTTTCCAGTTTGTCCGTATTAGGTCATTAGGTTTTTTTTTGTGCGTATTAGACCAATATGGTTGTTATTACCGTTTAGAAATAATCTTTTTTACCCGTTAAAACCGGTAAAATGACTATTTCTAAATGGTAATAACAACCATATTGGTCTAATACGCACAAAAAAAAAACTTAGTGACCTAATACGGACAAACTGAAAACCTTATTACCCTCCTAAGTCATTATCCCTAGATGTTAATGGTGTTATGTTAAATACTTACATGTTATTAAATGAAGACTTGGTGTAAGTACATAATGAGTTAAGTACTAGATTGTTAGGAGAATATTTATTGATGAAATTATGAGATAGAATGCCTATATGACAAGTGATATGTAAGATTATGGAAGGATCATAACATTCACATGAAAAATTATTAGAATATAGAAAGTTGATTCTTTCATGCATACGATGATGATTTATTCGGGAATGAGATTATGATTCCTTTGGGAACGAGAGGAGACAGAAGCACCAAAGACTTGGAGTAGAAGTAGATTTTATTTTTGGTATTCCTCGTTGCTTTAAATTGCGGTTATGATTCATTACAAACCCGATAATATCTTGCGATATAAAATGTTTTTGAGATTTAGAATTCCACAATTTTATAGAAAACTCTAATAAACCTCCATAATATTTAGATTGAAAATTTCGGGTTGTTACACCTATACCCATATAAAATAACATAATGGAATTTATTAAGTCCTGAAATTAATAACATAAGATTGTGATTTACCAAAGTAAAAGAATTTATTTTTAGGATAATGACTTGAAAGGTATCGAACTTTCAATTTTGTTAACATTTAATCATTGATTTTTTCGTGCTGGATTTATCCCTAAATTATTTGAAATTGTTCCGATTATATCCTTACAGTCGGTCATAAATATAAAATATAAACAATTTCAAACAATTTAATAATAAATCAAACACTAAAAAAAATGTCTAGATGCGAACAAAATTAAAAATTATTACCCTTTCAAGTCGTTATCCATCAAACTCATTGAAAATTTCGGATTATTATACCTATTCTCATATAAAATAATATAATAGAATTTATTAAGTCCTGAAATTAATAACATTAGATTGTGATTTACCAAAGTAAAAGAATTTATTTTTAGGATAATGACTTGAAAGGTATTGGAACTTTCAATTTTATTAACATTTAATCATTGATTTTTTTCGTGCTGAATTTATCCCTGAATTCTTTGAAATTGTTCCGATTATATCCTTACACCGATCATAAATATAAAATATGATCAATTTCAAACGATAAAAAATTCAATGTCTAGATGCCAATAAAATTAAAATTTATTACCCTTTCAAGTTATTATCCATCAATCTTATTGCTAAATTACAACGACCAGATTCGATACAATCCATTAATGTCATGCAATTGAAACTTTTCAAAATATGGATAAATAAATATGATCTTTAAAAAAACAATAACATTTAAATGAATTAACACCAAAAACATGATCTTCATGAGCCGCCGCAGGTTTCGCCCTTCCGGTCACTTTTCCGGCCGCTTTCTGAACCTAAAACCCTTCAATATCTCCATCACCTTGTTTTATATATAGATATAGGTGCACTTGCTTAATGATACTAATAACACTGTTCGTCCTCTAGACATCAAACAGTCAAATCTTCCTCCGACAAATTCTACCCTCAGCGATTGATTCCTGCATTGCCGGTGTTATATCTGTGCGCTTGTTTCTCAAATTTTCTCCTTTCAGAATTCATAAGGGTTTGATCTAGCTCTTTTGCAATATAAACAGCGAAAATTGTGATAGCTTGGTTTCGATTCTAGGGTTTTAGATTCGAACTACTTGGTTCTTCGTGGAAAGCTACAGGACTAAATTCAAAAATCAGGCGGTGGATTCTGGAATTTGAGAGTGTGATTTCGTTTTCGTACATCGTCAGCTGCTTCCGGCGATAAAGTTGAGTTGTTCTTATGTGATATATAATATTCTCGTTCTTCTAGGGTTTTTGTGAAACTGTGAATTCTGGTTTGGAAGAGTCGTAATCTGAAGGGCATGGCGTCGTACAGACCATTCCCTCCACCGCCACCTCAATCAAAATTTGGTCCGCCAATACCTCCGCCACCCAATCAGACTTCCCTCCCACCTCCCCAACTTGCCCCTGTACCCCAACCGAGAGGAAATATGTTTTCGCAGAATTGGAGCTACCCTGCTTCGAGTTTTCAACCGGGTGTTTATGCCGCCCTTCCTAGACCCCCTGTTCCAAATCAGCAACAACAGTATTCATCGTATCCACCACCACCGCCACTAGAGTCCGCTTACCCACCACCACTACCTCCTCCTTCTCAGCCTGCACGACCTGGACAAATGTACTTTCCATCTTCTCAAAACCCCCTGCTTAATAACCAGCCACCGCCACCTCCACCTTCCTCTCCACCCACTTCTTCAATCCCTCCACCACCACCACCGCCCCCATCACAACCACCATCGCCTCCACCACCTCCGTCATCAGTCCCCTCGATCAATCAAACCAAGGAACATAGACAAGGTGACCATAGAAGTTCTTCCAAGCGCGATTCACACCACAAGGTTCCTTCTAGAGAACATGCCAAGCCTTCTGCTCTTCCTCCAATGCCCGCAAGAACATCAAAGGCCGAGACAGAAGAAGAGAGGAGGATACGCAAGAAACGAGAAATGGAGAAGCAAAGGCAAGAGGAAAAACATAAGCAGCAATTGAAGGAATCTCAAGATAAAATCCTTCAAAAGACTCGAATTTTATCATCATCTTCAATCAAACCACATGGCTCAATCAGTGGTTCACACATAGGTGAAAGGAAAGCTACACCTTTTTTGAGTGGTGAAAGGGCTGAAAACCGATTAAAGAAGCCAACAACATTTCTCTGCAAATTGAAGTGCGTATGTTATGACAACATCTTCAAATGCCTATATTTCTTTCCCTCTATAGATATAATACTGAATATACTTTTCACTTTTATGCTCTTTAAAGGTTCCGAAACGAGTTACCAGATTCAACAGCTCAACCAAAGCTTATGTCTTTAAGAAGAGACAAAGATCGGTACACATTCATAATCTATTAATCTTAACTTCTTTTTTTTTTTTTTGTATAATTTCTTCCATATCTCACCAATTGATGTTTTCAGAGCTGCTAAATATGGCATCACTTCATTGGAAAATGTACACAAACCTCAATTACACGTTGAACCAGATCTTGGGATACCTCTTGACTTACTTGATCTCAGTGTATACAAGTACTATACTCTATACTCTATACCTCATTCTACTCTCTTTCTTTATTCTTTCCAATCGATTAACTCTCACAAATCTCCATTTTCTCCCTGGATTAGTGCTCCAAAGAATGAAATCCTTCATGTTGCCCCTGAGGATGAAAAACTGTTGCAGGAAGATGTTTCTGTGACTCCTATCAAGAAAGATGGATTAAAAAGAAAGGATCGCCCTACAGATAAAGGGATGTCTTGGTTGGTTAAGACACAATACATATCTCCACTTACCACAGATGCAACTAGACAGGTTTCTATAAAGTTTTTTTAGTTTTTTTTTTTTTTTTTTTGGTTAAAATGTAACATATTTTTTTTCTTGAAATTTACAGTCTTTGACAGAAAAACAAGCAAAAGAACGTGAAACACGTGGACGTAACATGTTAGATAGCCTGAATAGCAGGTATTTTATAAAAAATAAAATTTATGGTAATAAGTAATTTAATCTCTTGTGTATATGAATAAATTGAAGGCTGGATATGATGCTTAATTAGTTGTATTTTGAAAACGTGTATCAGGGAAAGGAAAATTCAAGATATTTTATCTTCTTTTGAGGCATGCAAATCACATCCTGTTCATGCTACTAATAAAAAGCTGAAGCCTGTTGAGATTTTACCATTATTTCCTGATTTTGAAAGGTAACAAGTTTTATAATAAATTATTAAGATATTGATTTTGCTAATTATGTCTGAATCAACAGGTGGGATGATAAATATGTTGTTGCAACTTTTGATGGTGCTCCAACTGCTGATTCAGAAAGCTATAACAAAATGGACAAATCTGTACGAGATGCTTATGAATCTCAGGTAAGATATTCTTAAGGTGGAAGGGTAATAACGTCATTTCACCACTTTTTGACTTTTTTTTTCTTCTTCTCCATTGAAGGCTATTATGAAAAGTTTTGTGGCAAACACCTCGGGTTCAGCTAAACCTGATAAGTTTTTGGCTTATATGGTTCCTTCAGTTGGTGAGGTAAAAAAAGTTACCCTTAATTCATTTATTAATTCTATTTTTAGCGTATAAATTTATATAAAAAAATATATATATTGCAGCTATCGAAGGATATATACGACGAAAACAAAGATATTTCTTACACATGGGTTCGCGAATATCACTGGGATGTATGTGAAAATTACAACTCTACCCTTGAAATTTTGAGTAACACAATAATCTGACGTGGCTTTTTTTTTTTTGGTGTAAAAGGTTCGAGGTGAAGATGCAGATGATCCAACAAATTATCTCGTGGCATTTGATGAATCCAAGGCTCGTTACATGGTATGCACACAAATATTTTTATTTATATATTTTTTAGTTGTGTGCTAATTTCTTATTGTTATATATTTATTTTTTCAGCCTTTGCCTACAAAACTGATGCTAAGGAAAAAGAGAGCTAAGGAAGGAAAAACGAGTGATGAGGTTGAACATTTTCCTGTGCCATCAACTGTGACTATAAGGCAAAGATCAACTGTTTCAATAGACATGAAAGAATCTGAGGTATTAATTTATTCATTTATTATTATTTTTATTATTGATTTGTTTGTAAATGGAAAATTTTATGTGGCTTGTATAGAGTTATGTTGGTTCAAAGGGGAGGAGTTTGAGATCTTCCAGGCATGAAAGAAGAATGGAGATGGAAGATGATGATGATGATGATGATGATGATAATGGTTACATGGATCAATCTAGTGGTGCTGAATATGATAATATGTCTGATTGATAATGATGATGATGATATTCAAGATGAAGATAACAAATCGAAGTACTTACACAAACAAGCTAGAGTTGTTTAGAATTGGATTAAGGAATATTTTTGTAGCATAACATATATTATATATATACCTGGTTGTTTGCCCATTTTGTGTTGAAAGTTGCAAACATTTAGTAATGTTAAGAAAGGTGTACATTACGAAGATGTTTTTAGGACACTTGTACAACAAGCATATTTAGATTTTTTTTTTTTTTGTTCTTTTTCTGTTCAACACTTGTACAACAAACATAACAAAAATGACAATCATAAATCATCATATTCAATGTGTCCCAATACTAATCATAATTATAAAATGTGGAAAATCAGAAATGAAATAAAAATATGACAACTTTCAAATATGAGATGCAAAGATGCACAAGTTATGTACATACACATTAGAATCCCAATTTTTTTTTCTCTTCGGCGTCTTTTAAATATTGAAAAAACTTTCAAATATGAAGACTTCTGGATGAAATTGAGGCCCTGTTTGTCGGATAACAAATTAATGTAATACAATCTTAAAAAAAATATAAATAAATAAAATAATGTAAATCTAACCATGCTTGGCGACATCTAACAGCTTCTTGACGTACACTTCTCTTAGGATCATCAAGTGCTCTTGATAATGCTTGTAACACCTGAAATCAATACAAAATTTCAAGGGGTAAAATCGGAAAAACAAAAAATTACAATTGAATTAAGTGATTAGTAGTAAAAACATCTGACCTCTGGTCTGAATGGATAAACCCTAGCGTAGGACACCTCTGACATGGCAGTCAGACACTGCACAGCTGTCTCACGTACCAACTGCATATTTCATAAACAAATAATTTAAATACTAATTTTCATTAATTATATAAAATGAGCTGAAAGTTTATAAAAATAACTCAACCATCATGTGTGGGTAGACTACAAGCTTGTTGATACACCTAATGATGATGTACGCATTTTCCACAATCACTTCTTCACCTAAACACAAGTAACATGTAAACGTTTAAATCTTTAAAAAAAAAACATAAACATTTAGGGAAATTAGAAAAAGCTAAAATCTCACCATTTTTATCAGTCAATATTCCTGATAAAACAAGGAGGAGGTTATATAAAATGTCCCGATTTTCAACATCTTCACTAAGGATTGTTAAACCATCTAGCATCAATGGAATAAGCTGTAAAACATAAAAAAAAAATTGCATCATTAAAATCCAAATATGCTTATAATAAAAACATATACACATTTCAGTTAACTTTAAAAAAAATAAAAATAAATAAATACTAACCTTCTTGGCTTCACCCAAAACAGCACTCAATGGAGCATTAGATATGACATGTACAAGTGCTCGATACTGCATGGATCTGTAATTTATCAAAAGTTCAAATTAAAAATTAAAAAAAAAAAAAAAAAAAAGTTAAATAACATCAAAAAATATTGATATATAATAACATACCTTGTAATTGGTGAAGAATCTGACTTCACGATTGATGATGATAAAATTGGCATCACTATACTGAATAATCGTTGCTTATACAACGGTTTTATAACTGAATTTAATCTTTTATTCAAACAAAACTCAGAATCACTCATCATAATACCAAAAGAATCTGCAACACTTGTCATTAAATCCACCATTTCTTGATGTTGAGGTGAATTTAAAATCAAGAAATCAAGAAAAAACTTGATCACATCTTTTACCTTTTCATGTCCCCTCATAAGCAACCCTTTTCCCATCCATGATAATCCAATAATTGCATTAACATTAGAGAATTTTATCAAGTGGCTAAATGTATTATCTATTGCTTCATTTGAAGGAGTTTTGTTGAAAAAGGATCCTAAAGCATGAGCTGATGAGGTGTGGCCATTTGTGAGAGATTCTGTGAGTGTTTCAAGGGTTATTTTGGGGTTTTTTATGTTTGTTTTTGGGTGAAGGGCGATTATGACTGAATTAAATAATGAGATAATCCACTCGTTTCTTGGTTGGAAGACTTTGTTGACCGGATTGGATTCGTTGACTTTGAAGGATTTTTCAAGAATCTTGATTTGATTCTCCACTGAACATGTTGCTACTGCATGCTTCATTGTGTTCATTGTTGTTTCTAGAAGCTTCTGATGCAAAAGAATACACATTTGTATAAAATTATGGGAAAATTACAGGAAAACCATTCCACTGATACTTTGTTTTTTTGACATTTTTCCAAATTAACTATTTTGACCTAATAGATGGTTAATTTAGAAAAGGGTTAATCTCAAAAAAGACCTTATATTTTGTGTTCTTCCCCAATTGAACCTCAAACTTTTTTTTTGCCTGAAAAAGACCTTGTATTTTTTTCATTTTTCCAAATTTGGCCCTTTTAGTCAATTTTTCTCCTTGTAAAATGTGAGGGCTTTTTGAGAAAAACTAAAAAAGTTGAGGGTTTATTTGGAAACATTAATAAGGTTGAGGGTTTTTTCGGAAAAAAAATACAAAGTTGAGGGCTTTTCGGAAAAAATGAAAAAAATACAAGGTCTTTTTCAGGCAAAAAAAAAAAGTTTGAGGTTTAACTTTAATCCGAAAAAAACACAAAATATAAGGTCTTTTTTTAGATTAACTCTTTAGAAAATGCCTGAAATCTTTATGGTTTGATTGGATAAATAAAGTAACAGTGGTTAAATTAAAATATAAAACTGCACAAATATAACGATGATTATCTATTTTTTTGTGATTTGCCCTTTAAATTATCCAACATTATCATAAAATTTTGATTTAATGAAGGTGTTCTTGCAATGTGAACACAAAAAAAAAAAAACTCACTTTTTCCACAAGGGTGTCATAGAAAAGTGTGTTATCTTCAATTTCATCCCAAATCTTTAATGCAAAATTTGTTGCCACATCATCAGAATCTTTGATATTCTGAAACCATGGAAGAATCTTGTGATCATAGCATTCCAAAAGAATCATTGCATGTTCAACTGACTTTGAGTCTCCATCAATCTATAATAAAAAAAAAATAAAAAATCCATTAATAAAACAGAACAAGCAATTCCAATAAATCCATGAAATACTGAAATATACCCAAGATTTGTGTAAACTTGTAATGATAGTTTTGTTCAGTTCTTGAACAATCTTCATCATATATTTAAGATTAATGATGCCAATTTCAGATACTGATTTCACTTTGAGTGAAAAGGGCATTGTTGAATCATCAGAAGACAACAAATCCACCATTTTGTCAACAATAATAGCATCAAAGCTTGGCATTTTTTCAGAATCTTGAGATTTTTCAATAAATGACCCGATTTCAGTTAATGAGTCTAATATGGAGCTCCATAGAGATGTATTGTTGAACTTGAGGATAATAACTGAAATAAATTCTCTCAAAATATTCTCAAATGTGGATTTTGATACAGGCGAAAAACTTCCAGGAAATGAAGCTAAAATCTTCAAACCCCTAACTGCAAAAAAGTTTTAAAGGGCATTTTAGGAATATCACACCACTAAAAAGGAGAATAGAAAGAACAGCAAAGTAATGGAATTAATCAGATAAAAAAAAGTTACCTCCAGATTGAGTGTAGGAATCCTCATTGCTTTCATTCATACTTTTTACAAAAGAAGAAATCAATGAATCACAGAAGCTATGAAGCATGATACACCATGTCTCATTGTCATTATAACTCACTTCATCATTTTTCATAACCAAAATTCTGCAAGCAGCTAATAATTCAACACAGATATAAAGGCACCCGAATTTAGGTTTTTCAGAAGCATAATCTTTCTCCAAACCATTTACTAAACCAGAGAAAAAACTCTGAAAGATTGCATTACAAGAAGCCATGGAAGCTGCAGATGAAACATGTAAAATCTGACCAATTGAGTTTAATCTTTGCTGATCTGGCATTGGAGAATCGTCATGATTGTTATAATTTGAGAGGGAGTTCAAGGTCATGTTGATGTCTGCATCCTTTAGGATTAAATTTACAAATACGCCATTATCTTGTTGAATGAGATTTTGTAGAAGAACAAGAGCTTCGGATGCTATTTTGTTGGAATTAGATTGATCTGATGTGAATATTGCATCTTTTAATGATGACCAAAGAGGTTCAAGATGTTGTAGCATTCTGTGGGGTCCATATTTAAGTGTGCAGTAGCTAAGATACTTCAAAGATTCAACCTGTGAGTACAAAAGTTGTTAAAAAACTGATTTTTCTTTAAAAAAAAACATCCGGTTTTAAGTTTTCACTAACCTTTGATGATGGAAGAGATGAAGAAAGTTTCTCAAGAAGTAATGGAATGGCAAATGGCTCAAAAAGGGGAGTAGATGCAAACGCCAGCTGTTAATGAAATAAGTTAAAAGGGAAAAATAAAGAAATTTAAGAAGTATAAGCAAAATAAATACTACTAAATACCATTAGTGCCCTTGAGAGCTCTTCCCTTTTCACATCATCTTCTCCTTTTGGCTGAAAAACGAATGTTAGACAATAAGTATATATATGATTTTACAAGATTTTAATAAGTAGACTCACGTGTGTAAAGTGAATTGGGAAATAAGATCCCAAAATGTTAAAAAGATCCTCAGCATAGCTTGTTAGTGAATTAGATGAATCTGGATACAAATGTGATAGCATTTCCACTAGATGAAAAGTGAGCAATAAACATTGTGGATCTTTTTCACCATCTATAGCTTCACAGATTACATAAACAAAGTCATCCTCCTACACAATTAAAAAAGAAAAAAGTCAAACACAAAATAAATATGTATGCATGAATAGATTTTAAAAAAAAAAAAAAAAAAAAAAAAAAAAGGTTACCATTGTCATCACAGTGTTGGGATAACAATCTATAAGGCATTCTAGAATCTCAAAGCAAAGCTGCAAGAAAAATCATAGCAGAATATAAAGATTTGGAAAAATGATAATGAAAAATCAAAAAGATTCTTTAATGTTCATCAATGTCACCTTTCTGTCATGTTGACCTAAAGATTGAACTTGTAGATTTTGCATGAATGATTGAGCAACTGCAGTTGCATCACTGCTGCTGATGTCACCTTTCCTTCTCATTAGAGCCAAACAACCAACAAGTGCACCACGTAGTGCTCTCCAATCTGACTGATATTGGAAATTTATATCAAATTTAATATTTGTTTGTGTTTAAACTTGTAGGTGTGTAATGTATATACACATTATAATACATCTAACGTAGGGTGTTTCTTTCCATTTAATAGATAGTTAACTAAACTTACCAGTCTTTCTGCAAA